AAAAAAAAATTGAAAAACTCCACTGTGATGCTTTGAACCTGGCGCGATGGGTCACTTGCTTTATAGCCTACATCCATATCCACTACACCATCGAGGACTAACTGCCAAATCCAATAATTTTTAAAATTAATATACATGTTCTTTATATGCCGTACCCCATTACAATATTTGAAAGCTAACCGTTTTCAGTTCAGTGCTTAACCCTAATCACTGCAGATCAGTACTTAACTCTCTACTGTGTTCTCTCCATAACTAGCGCTCTGTAGTTTTAGTTTCTTCAGCTATTCTAGCCTCATTCTACATTCCAGTCTCGTTCCATAATGAAAATAATGCGTTGTGTAAAATTCATAAGGTGTCCAATCTGACTTCACTTGATGTTATCTAATGCTAACCCTGTCACTGGGGACAGGGGAAATAATTGGCTCACAGTGATCTTGTTACAAATGGTTATGGTGAGTCCTGGCACTCATCTTAATTGTGAAAAATTATGAGTCCCGGTCCAGAACCAATGAGTCCCAGTTTAAAAAAAAAAAAGAGTCTGAAATTGAAAATGCTTGGGCCTTTATGTAACCAGACCGTTAATCTGAGTACAGACTCCAAAACTTTGTATTACGGTGTTACAGTATACTGAAATTAAAAATAATACAGTCCTTCTATTTAAAAGCACAACAAAGGCTAAAAGAAATATGCATCGTTAAACAATGGTCATAATAACTGCCACAGAAATTACATAAACGGGATATTTCTACAAATACACATGTTCAGATCAATCGATCAATCGATCTTTGTGTCCTAGGGGACACATGCCATGAATTATTTTGAGCCTTTGAGGATTTTTATTTGTCAGGTATGCAGGATGCAGAGGTAACAAAATCCAGGGCTAATAGCTGACCAGCACCTCCCCAGTAACAATCTCAAAAACAATAATTGCTGGATGCATTTCAGCTCCAGTTGCCTTCTTATTTCTAAAAAGTGTTGAATGGAAACACACATTAGGAATTAGAGGGGCAATATTTTGATGACTTCATTTTCTTGCAGGAGTCCCTGGAAGAGGAATCTAGTTCAGAAGATGAAGATTGATCTGAACAGTAACAACACCATTGCCCATGCATGCAAGTACATGTATAAGCATCAATGTGGTGTCTTTGTAACATAACATTTTGTCATTGTTTTTGAAACGTTCGGAATAAAATTATTGTGTTGATATGCGAAATGTCACTGTCATTGCTAGATGTAACCTAAGAATGCCAATGCTCGTTTGAAAATTGTTTTTTCCCCATCAAATGGACTGCAAAACAGTCCGTATTTTTGCGCATTCAAGTACCTGTCAAACAACAGGTCTGGAGTGAAGCTGAAAACGGAAATCGAAACTGGGGAGAGCTTGTAAGGCTTGCACGATTTGTGCGTGAGACTCTTAAATGTTGAGAAAAAACCCGCCTGTTTTGCATTCTACCCATCAAAAATGTTGCAGGCTTTAAGTGTACAAAAACTGCCATACACCTGACTTATTTCAGAAATGTTGATTAATGTTATATGGCCACTTACTCGGGGGATAATCCACACACAAAGTACAAACTTACAAACTATCGAATTACCATAATTATTACAATTTGCAGTTTAGTAATGCCTGATTGCTTTTCTTTTCATCAGCAATGCTTTTTAAAATAGGTGTTCATAGTTTTCACTTTCCAACAGCTATAATAAACTGAATGAATACTAGAGGTAGTTAAAGTGATAACAAACTGAAACCAGTTTCCACTAAAGCTTTACCTTTATTAAACGTTTACTTGTAAAATGAAATCAAAGAATCAGCCAAATTTAACTCTACTTGTATCTTTTATTATGGACTACAATACTACAACTCTATTATTTTAACTGCGGAACCCTGTTATGAATACATTTGGGCAATGCAAATTGGGTGGTGCTGCAGTCTGACACAAAGCCTGTCTCAACAATAATATTTACAATTTTAATTCTGAATGTCAATATGCCTGATAACACAAACATCACTAATTAACCCTTTTTTGCAAAAAACTTTTAAAGTGTTTGCCAGGTTAACCTCTTCACTTATCCATTATTCAGTCAACTGGTCATATCAGCAAGGTAGAATAATAATTATTGTAAGGCAAGTTGTACTTAGTTTTGGGTATGTTTAAAACGTAAGATGCTGTGCAAAACTTTTTGTTATCTCCTTTTTGTTATATCAAAAATGTGAGCCCCTGCTATACCATGCATTTCTTGACAGAAACACATATTTGTCATCAACACAAGAAAATGTCAACTTTTCCCAGTTTCCAAGTAAAGAATCAGTGACAGCCTAGCATTGGAATTATATTGAACAACTGGATTTAATGGCGGTGAAACTGAGTGTGTCATTCTGTTTCTTGTTTATATCATTTTGGTGAGGTTTTCTGTGCATGAAAACAAAGCTCTTAGCGGTACCTAAGAAAGCAAGCTGTTTCAGCTGGGCCACTGTCCCTACTTACTGAGAAAGATTAGACATTTTTAAAAAAGTGGGCTGGNCTTGTAAAATGAAAATCAAAGAATCAGCCAAATTTAACTCTACTTGTATCTTTTATTATGGACTACAATACTACAACTCTATTATTTTAACTGCGGAACCCTGTTATGACTACATTTGGGCAATGCAAATTGGGTGGTGCTGCAGTCTGACACAAAGCCTGTCTCAACAATAATATTTACAATTTTAATTCTGAATGTCAATATGCCTGATAACACAAACATCACTAATTAACCCTTTTTTGCAAAAAACTTTTAAAGTGTTTGCCAGGTTAACCTCTTCACTTATCCATTATTCAGTCAACTGGTCATATCAGCAAGGTAGAATAATAATTATTGTAAGGCAAGTTGTACTTAGTTTTGGGTATGTTTAAAACGTAAGATGCTGTGCAAAACTTTTTGTTATCTCCTTTTTGTTATATCAAAAATGTGAGCCCCTGCTATACCATGCATTTCTTGACAGAAACACATATTTGTCATCAACACAAGAAAATGTCAACTTTTCCCAGTTTCCAAGTAAAGAATCAGTGACAGCCTAGCATTGGAATTATATTGAACAACTGGATTTAATGGCGGTGAAACTGAGTGTGTCATTCTGTTTCTTGTTTATATCATTTTGGTGAGGTTTTCTGTGCATGAAAACAAAGCTCTTAGCGGTACCTAAGAAAGCAAGCTGTTTCAGCTGGGCCACTGTCCCTACTTACTGAGAAAGATTAGACATTTTTAAAAAAGTGGGCTGGTCAAAGGAAAAGATGATAAGGGTTTAGAAACCCTGTGAGTGTTGAAATCCTTCCTATAACTAAAGTTTTTTTTTACAACAAGTTTAACCTTTTTCAAAGCTTTGTACAAAGTGCTTAATATGTGTGGTAAATATAATTAGTTTTAATTATAGAACAGCCATGTATTAAATACATGT